TGGCGGCTTGGGGATGTGCGGCGCGGGTGGTGGGGGTGGCCGGAGTAGGAGGGAGGGGGTGTGGGGAGGAGGAGGCTGCAGAGGGTGGGAGGAGATGGCGACGAAAGCATCGTGCGTGTCTGGATTTCCTTGTTTCGGGCAGGGGATGAGCCGTGTATGTGGGCGCTGCCGCTGCTGATCAACTAACTTCACATTGGAGTGGCGTAGAAAATCCGAGCGCAAACAGCACAGTTGCACCTTGAGAAACACCAAGGCAATTACCTGAAATTTCTGCAAGTACGCAGGATAAAAAAAATCAATTCTAATTTTGAGAAAATATCCGCTGAAACCAGATCACAGTGAAAACTCAGTGAAATCATGTTTGGAAATTATAAAAAGTATATAAAGAAATATTAATCAGGTGACGTTCTCACTAAAAAAATAGAAAAAAAGGAAATGACGTTCTAGAAATATCGTTTTTAATCTAAATCATATTGACAAATTCAGCAATGTATAATGATGATTATTTTCATTTTCACTAATGTCGTGTCAGGCTTTATTTACTCCCCTGAATTATAATGACATTCTCACTAAATTATTTAGTTCGAATTCGAAATTGCATCTCACCGGATATTTTCTCCTACACTTCCATACAACAGGGAAGCGTCCTTAGATTTGTGGCAACAGTCGAGTTCAGCCAAAAAGTGAAAATTGACATTCAACCATCAGACAATGGGATCCAACTAAGATAACGTAAAATGGAGCAACTAGTATGACATGTCCTACGATAGTTCAAAACTGTGACATCCATTCCTTCAGTAACAAGTCTTATAGCGTGATTCCATAAGAATGTCAACGAGCCACAAAATCATCACAGTGATAAGCTCAGTTGCAGCCCAGGCCAATGTTACGCCCCCAAAATTAGCCCAGATGGCTTCGTCTGACATGTAGAGCTGATGAAAAAACAAGGTACATAAAAACAACTGTAGGATGTTGTTGACTGAAGCTATGGCGATGACGGAGGAAAATGGTGTTTCTTGGATTTGCGCAACCGTCTCAGTTTGTCCTCGTCCCTTTTGGTAACCGGTCACCTCCTCACTGTACGTTCATTAGCTCCACATCAAACAGAAGAGTTGAGTTCGGCGGTATTTCCCCGGCCTTCTGGTTTCCATAGCTACAAAGAGTGCACAAATCAGAATCGAAACAAGCAGCTCCTGATGTAAAAGCGATGTAGAAGCAGTATATATGTCCTACCCCATAGATGGTGGAATTGTAAGCTTTCTTTTGTCCCCAATGCGCATACCTATAACAAGCAAACAAGACAGGATCATAAGAGATAATGAACTAACCACATGTATCAGGTACGGAGTACAACATATGCAATAGCCACAGTTATGTGTTGGATGACGATTTGAGAAATTAAATACCGTTGACACCAATGTCCCAGCCTTTAATGACCTGTCCAACACCTGCATGAAAGTGACATTAAAACCAATACTAACAAGGATACGAGTACGCTAGAGGGTAAAACATCAGAACTTACCAAGCCTAAACGAAAAAGGCTTCCGACCAACATTAGAGTCAAAAATCTTGCCATTCTTCAACTTGCCAGTGTACGTGACAAAAACCTAAAGAAGAATTCAATTGTCAGTAATAATAGTTAAAATATATACATAATAATCCAAGCATACAAAACTCTCTGCGTGATCAAATTAATTAGAACAATGCGACGGCAAGTACATATTGATTACACTGAGCATTGAAAGTACTGAGAAATTGCATTAATAAATGGTAGCCTGAACGGAGTTCTGCTGGTGCAACCTAAAAAATGTTTACCTTTTTCCCAGGGGTAGCTTTTTTACCATCTGGTTTGCCCAACGCCACCGTCTGAACAATCAAACCATTGCCATAAGTCCGTGCTTTGGGTGATGTCTGCTCCTTGCTAGCTGAATTCATAACATCAGTCTGTGCCTGGTTCTCACTTCCATTGTTCTCCTTTGTTTTCTTCTTGTTCTTCTTTTTCTTGGCCCCCTGTTTACTAGGCTCCTCATCATTGTCTCTATAACAAAGAAATGAGATGATTCCATCAGAAATGCACTCAGTATGGAAAGCCAGACACAATATATATATAAAAAAAAAAGACCAACCCAAGGGCTAACCCTCGTTGGCATTTATTTATAGGAGAAACTCCGTGAGCACCACGCGTCCAAGCCGGGACTTGAACTTGAGTGGGCTGGCAGCAACCTCAGCTGCCTAGCCAACGGGTCGACGCCCCGTCCTCCAGACACAATATATGACAGCTTAACATACGTACGTTATGGTTTTCTTATCAGCTTGCTCATCAGTGTCACCTTCAGAAGCACTTTGCTTCTTGCTTTTCTTTTTCTTCTGTTTGGCTGCAACGGTGTCAGCTGAGGAAGCTAGCTTCACCTCCTTTTCTTCATCGTTTACCTTCTCACTGTCCACAGCATTCCTTTTGTCCTTGGCCTTTTTCTTTTTCTTTGAAACCACATCATTTTCAGCATTAACCTCCCTGGGATGACAGGCAAAATTAAACACGTGTTGCTTCATCATGATTAAACAAATCAGCAAGGGGAAAACAGTGAACTAGCATGTACCCTGACGACTTGTGAGGATCATTAATAGCATCACTTTTCCTTTTCCTGTCTTCAGTACTAGTCCCATTATTTAGATTCTTATCCTTCTTGGAACTACCTTTAGAACTCTTCTTTGATTCAGAAACAGGAAAGCCGTCTTCATCTTCACTTTCCACGGATTCAGCAGGTAGGGTCCTAACAGCAAGCTGAAGTCGAGAATTATCATCAACAGGCTTCTCATCCTCTTGAATCTCCTCAATGACAACTGCAAAATTTGCCCACATTGAAAGAAAAATCATGAGATGATCTGAGGCCTGAAGGCCAATAGCCCCATGCATTTCAACGCCAATAGCTCAAATGGCAACATGACTTCTATTTTATTTTACGGACAAATAAGGACAGAATTAACAATGCTGATTCTATATAAGCATGCACATAAATTCACTGTGCCATCTAGAGAATCTAGGCCTAAGAAACTGGCATATACCATCTAATCCAACACACCGGTGACATACTAATCTGTGCTAACTTCAACCTGATAAACACATGCAGACAAGCACTTACTAGGCCTACATTCGACTGACTATGTACAATAGTTCTCCTATGCGCATTTTCCAATGAAAGAAATTGCTTACATCATGGAAAGTCGGGACCTAGGAAATGGAATTGGAAGCATTACCTGAACTCTTGCCTCTACCTTGGTTGTACATCAAATCCTCATCATCCTCTGAATCGTAGTCCTCATCATAGTCTGAATCATCTTCGCTGTCTGAACATCCCAGGCTCGTCAGAATCAGTATTACAACAGCATGGCTTGCACAATGGGATTAAATTTACAAGCATACCTGTGTTCATCTGGCCATGGGATACTGGAATGACCACATCATCATCATCAGATGCCAAGAAATCATCATCGGAGCCTTGAAGTGACTCACTACCAGTATCACTGTCACCAATGTCCTCGTACACATCACTAACAAAATACTTAAGGAAAAGAAACCACACTGACAACAACTCTCAACCAGAGAAAATAATCCCAGTAATCAACTATCATCAATTGCATCATCAAAGAAAATAAGTAACAGAAACGAAACAAAGGATACCCAATATAGTATCCAGCCAAGTGAACGCTCCTCGACCCAAGCACCGAGAACGTCACGAACTTCTCCTCGAACTCGAGGTCCAGGTGGCAAGTCACCGACTGCCCCGGAATCAGGGCGCAGAGATACACGGGCTCCTTGTTCTTAACGGTGCACTGCAGCTGCACCAAGTTCGTCTTCCCCTTCTCCACCTTGCCAACCTCGGCCCCCAGAGTCGCCTGCGTTGTCCACCAAGAAGAATCCAACACGGTTACACAACGTAGAGTGATTATACCGCAACCAGGAACCCCGACCATCTCGTGACATTAACAGGGGAAATCGAAAGTTAAGGGCGAGAAATCGCGGACCTGGGTGAGGCGCAGGCGGCCGCGGCGCGGGCTGTGGGTGTGCGTGTAGGGCTTCTCTGGCTTCACCTCCGCACCTGGAAGCAAGCGGCCAAGAGATTAGACATGGAAAAGGAAAAGGGAGAACACGGAGAAATTGACGGCGGCGTCCATGGCGGCCGAGCCGAATGCTTACCCCAAAACGAAGACATGTCTGCCACTCAACCGAATGTGCCGATGCGCCGCAGGATGCTTCGCTCTCGATGGGAGGAGATTGGCTTAAAACGGCTGGGGGTTTGGATGCTTCGAGGAGGTGGTAGACGGCTGGCGGACGGCGGCGACAAACCCTAAAAATGGGGTTTAGGGGCGGCGGAGAGGAAGGACGCCCAACGCAACCAACTTGTGCGATTTGATTTGGGCCTTGAGTATTGCAGGATGGGCCTCCAAAGAGAACGGGGAATTTAACGCGTTAAAACGTCGTTGTGTGGTGTAGTCGGGCCAGGCCATATTTTGGTTTTCCACGGTGCCTTTTTTCCTCCTTGCATTCTTTTATTTTTATTTTTATTTTTATTTCACTTTTACTATTTTTTTGCGTTTATTTTTCCTTTTTAATTTTTTTTCAGATTTGTCCATTGATTTTTTTTCTATATATATGTTTTTATTACTTTTCTCGTGTACTTGAATTTTGTTTTATTTTGCGAGAAAGCTTCTAATCTATTCATGAACTATAAGGTAGTACTTCTCGCAAAAACTTATCAAGAGAGAACAAAGAACATCAGAAGTAAAATATTACATCCAGGTTCGTAGACAATTTAGCGACAACTACAAGCATTGAGGGAGCCGAAGGTGCGTTGTCGTGCATGATAGGCTTATTACGGATAATATCATTTGTGTGTATGAATGTTTGCCATTTTATGAAGCGTGGCAAGGCAAAGCCAGACAACTATTGTGCTCTATAGCTAGATATGATGAAAGCATGTGACAGGCTTGAGTGGACTTATCTCTAGGCTATTATGGCCAAGCTTGGACTTGCTCAACCTTGAATTGAAATAGTGATGGGAATGGTCAGGTCAATGTCTTTTTGTCTTTTTTAACGGGGAGAGACTTGAATAGTTTAAAACCCTAGAGCTATTCGACAGAGAGACCTAATAAACCCTTATCGTTTACTGATTGTGACAGAGGGCCTTTCGTAACGTTTAAATCCAGTTCCCATTCATCAAATTTGGGCGACATCAAAGTGGCCCCAACATTCCTGATTGTTAACCACCTTTTTATTTGCAGATGACAACCCGCTGCCTTCTTAGTCTAGTGTGAGGGGGCGGTTATAGTATCAAAATATTTGTTACCACATATTGTAGTGCTTCACGATAGAGAGTGAATCATGGTAAGTCTTTCACCTTCTTTAGTAAGGGGTGTCCTCGGTCCATTCGTGATAATGTTAAGAACACTCTGCATGTCTAAAATAAATCCCTAAATGATTGGTATCTCGGCATGCCTACCTACCGAAGTGGGTCATTCAAAGAATGGAACTTCCAAGTATTTAAGGGACCGAGCATGGAAGAGAGTGAGGGGTTTGGTGGAAAAGCTTTTGTCATCTGCTGGCAAGTAGGTTCTCATCATCTGCTGGCAAGAGGTTTGTGCGAGAATGTATGTCAATTATTTGAAAAATTTGGAGGGGTGGCAAGCAAGGGAGAAGGAAACCTTGTTGGGTTGCATGGGATGACTTGACCAGACTAAAGTATGTAGGAGGTCTTGGCTTCCGTGACCTGGCGATATGATGAGTGATATTTTTACACTCATCTACCCTTAGTTTAAACCGATATATTCAATTAAATCGATATATCCGCTCTGATATTGCTACTAATGACTAATGGATGCATAGGATTCCACAAAATCCTCTCTTTTCTTGTGTTTCTATGGGAAATGGGCTAAATATGGACGAAATCAAGTGAGAACATGGAAATGAGTAAAGGAGGAGATAGAAGAAATCAGGAAGAGGCGCATCATAAGAAACAGTGCAAAAGACGGTGTTCCATACGACCGCGACCGCTCACATGAGCGGTTGTGTGGGGTGGAAATCGAGGCTCCTCGTCCACCTGAATGACTTTTATAAACGGGTTGAGGCCGAAATGTTAACAAAACGAGCGTGAGCGGAGCCATAATCGGGTCATCTCCCCCACCCCACCCCACCCCACCCCACCCCTCATCAACCCTAGTCATCGTTTCCCATCTCCATAGCCACCATCTCCATCACCACCATAGTTATTCCTCCACTGGATCATACTTGTAATCATGTATCAGACATGACATCCATTATAAGACATATTATCAATCAATCTACCTTCATGATGTGTTCTTCATGTGATCTGATCTCCATGTGTGAGTAGTTCGGTAAGGTATGGGCTGATGCAAGAGCCTTGCAACCCGATGTATTTGTTGTGGGGGTCAATGGGAGTGCTTTGAATTAACGTCTCATATGTGTGAAATAAAGTTGTTCTGTAGATGTCTCTTGTATCGCATGTGTTATTCATCCCTGCAGGTACTCAGGATCATGGAGAGCGAGCCACAGAGAGGCTAAGGGCAGGGAGACAGTGAAGTGTTATTCTGAACACCAGTGACAGAAAGGTTTAGTATGGTAACCTGGATCCTAGCCTTGGGGATACAAGAGGTGTAGTCATTAAATGCCCAATGTTTTCGTCTGATTATAGAAATCTTAATTATCGAGGCAACACCGCGAGACAGATAGGCCTTCAGTTGGACAAATGACTCTTTATACAGGACGTGTGTCGGTCAAGACGTAATTTGGACACATCCTCCACTTCGGTTCGTAACAAGCACATCTCGATGGGTGACTCCCAGTGCAGAAATTAAGATCATATTTGGTCCCAACATAAACATATGGTTGTAAACATTAAGACCTCATACCCATGCATATCTTTTTTATTATAAGTGTTCCCTTTCAGTTGTTTGATTTTGATCCGGTCAAAAGTTGGAATTGTTCTTTAACAAAAGTTTGCTTGAGACCCTAGCTTCAAGGGACCATCCTCCCGTAAGTTTGATAACTCAAGGTCACCTGTGGGGAATAAGACGAGAATCCTTTCTGCTCCATTTCTGGATCAGCAAAGGAAGTAATCAAGATATTTGATCTAGTGAGTCTATCAAGACAGGCTATCAAGACAGGCTTGGCGAATAATGTGTGATCCTTCATCTCTTGGTGCTAAGATACTTAAAGCAACATATTTTCTGGGTAGTTTGTTGTTGGAAGCCAAGCTGGGACCGCACCCTTCACAAATTTTGCGAGCCACTCTAGATGGTCGTGATATTATGGCTTGGGGAATTATCAGAAGAATTGGTGATGGGGAGACCACGAGCATTTGGGATCACAACTGGCTTCCAAAGGATATCTTCGAGCGGATGATCACTTTTGGCTGAGTTGTTTGATGCCATGATACGTCTCCGTCGTATCTATAATTTTTGATTGTTCCATGCCAATATTATTCAACTTTTATATACTTTTGGCAACTTTTTATACTATTTTTTGGGACTAACATATTGATCCAGTGCCCAGTGTCAGTTCCTGTCTGTTGCATGTTTTTTGTTTCGCATAAACCCAATATCAAACGGTGTCCAAACGGGATAAAAATGGACGGAGATTTTTTTTGGAATATTTATGATTTTTGGGAAGTAAAATCAACACGAAACAGTGTCCGGGGTGGCCACGAGACAGGGGGGCGTGCCCTCCCCCCTGGACGCGGCCTGGGCTCTCGCGGGCCACTCGTAAGGCGGTTGACGCTCTTCTTTTGGCGCAAGAAAGCTAATTTTATGAGAAAGATCTGGGCGAAAGATTCACCCCAATCGGAGTTACGGATCTCCAGATATAAAGGAAACAGTGAAGGGGTAGAATCAGGGAACGCAGAAACAGAGAGATAGATCCAATCTCGGAGGGGCTCTCGCCCCTCCCAAGCCATGGGAGCCAAGGACCAGAGGGGAAACCCTTCTACCATCTAGGGAGGAGGTCAAGGAAGAAGAAGAAGAAGGGGGCTATCTCCCCCTTGCTTCCGGTGGCGCCAGAGCACCGTCGGGGGCCATCATCATCACCGCGATCTTCACCAACACCGCCGTCATCTTCACCAACATCTACATCACCTTCCCCCTTCTATATTCAGTGGTCCACTCTCCCGCATCCCGCTGTACCCTCTACTTGAACATGGTGCTTTATGCTTCATATTATTATCCAATGATGTGTTGCCATCCTATGATATCTGAGTAGATTTTCGTTGTCCTATCGGTGATTGATGAATTGCTATGATTGGTTTGAGTTGCATGTTTTATTATTGGTGATGTCCTATTGTGCCCTCCGTGTCGCGCAAGCGTGAGGGATCCCCGTTGTAGGGTGTTGCAATGCGTTCATGATTTGCTTATAGTGAGTTGCGTGAGTGACTGAAACACAAACCCAAGTAAGTAGGTTGTTGTGTATGGGATAAAGGGGACTTGATGCTTTAATGCTATGGTTGGGTTTTACCTTAATGAATCTTTAGTAGTCGAGGATGCTTGCTAGAGTTCCAATCATAAGTGCATATGATCCAAGAAGAGAAAGTATGTTAGCTTATGCCTCTCCCTCAAATAGAATTGCAATAGTGATTACCGGTCTAGTAACATAGTCAATTGCATAGGGGCAATTTCACAACTCCTACCACCACTTCTCCACACTCGCTATATTTACTTTATTTGCATCTTTATCTAAACAGCCCCTCCTTTTTATTTGCGTGTTCTTTATTATCTTGCAAACCTATCCTATCACTCCTACAAAGTACTTCTAGTTTCATACTTGTTCTAGGTAAAGCGAACGTCAAGCGTGCGTAGAGTTGTATCGATGGTCGATTGAACTTGAGGGAATGTTTATTCTACCTTTAGCTCCTCGTTGGGTTCGACACTCTTACTTATCGAAAACTGTTGTGATCCCCTACACTTGTGGGTTATCAAGACCTTTTTCTGGCGCCGTTGCCGGGGAGTCATAGCGTGGGTGAATATTCTCGTGTGTGCTTGTTTGCTTTATCACTAAGTAATTTTTATTTGCTGTTCTTAGTTGTTTTCTATCTTTAGTTATGGGTAGGAAACGCAAAATACCAAAAAAAAATAGTTGTACCTACTGCTCCAATGGTTGAAGAACCACTCAAAATCTATCACACTACTGAAGCTTTTTACTTGGATC